CTGCTCCTAACTTATCACACTAATTGTAATCTTGTATTTATTTGTCTATATTTCTTTCTAAACTATAATCTCCCTGGAGATAGAGACTCTTGTATTTCGATGCCTAAAGAATAATTAATACTCAACAAATACTGAATGTCGATCGACCAATGAATAAATATGTACAAAAGATACACCTCTATACACATCCTGGAATATATGTAAACACTCCCCAGGTCATTGGTGATCTTTCAAAGTCAGGGCAAAATTTATAATTATAATCAGGGCTGGTTTTTTTCTTTTTAGTGCATTGTGTATTAACTCATTTAATGCCCCCAACAACCCTTTATGAAATGAGGTTATTATAACTCCCATTTTAAAGGTAGAAATGGAGACATAGACATGTAAACTAGCTTATCAAAGTTTATACAGCTAGTATCATTGCTGGGATATGAACCTAGGCAGTCAGGCTTCACAGTCCATACATCTAATTACTACACGATGAAGATAAACAGAATTTCTCTGTGACTTTGGCAAGCTTCTTAACTTTAATGTGCTTTATTTACATCTTCAAAATGAGGATCAGACCCATTATAAAGATTACTTGGCAGAATCCTCCATTTAGTTCATATTTGGGTATTCTTGTGCAATCCCACAGGTTTATGTTATGAAGCAATGTGTAATTTTTCTTGGATACAAACATAAATAACAAAAGCCGTGCAAAGCATGTGCACCAGAATAGAACATTCAGCTAATATAGAAATGGGGGATCAATGAAACACCAGCATCTATGTGACCACATAGCTTTATTTTCCTCTTCTTATCTCATACATATTCCAGAGAAATGATGTGTTATGGTGATATTCTCAAATTTGAGAGCTGCAAAGGTTTTAAGATGTATCCCTAGGAAAACATCAAGGACCTACATCATGTTCCTGGCTGACATTCTCTTATGTGAGCACCTGAATTATAAATCTTTGAATAATTAAGGAAAAAATATGTGCATTTAAACATATCAGCTTTCTTTATTTAAAAGATGATAATACATAGCATTGTTTATGAAGAGAAAAAATCATACAACTATTTTGAGAGACAAGTCACTATGGTAACCATTTCTCTGCTTGAATTTAGAGAGGCAATGCCTTCTGCTACTGGGAGATTCAGCTTTTAGCAGCAGTTATTACATATTATTTTATATGGTCTTTTATTTTTGTCTTATACTAAATAAGTCTCCATGTCACCTTATTTAATGAAAAACTATCATTCTATAGAATAACTCATATTGCATATTTTATTAGTAAATGGAAATTTTATTGGTTAGGGCATCCTCAAAGACAAAAATAATAGTAAAATATCTTATCCAGAATGTTAACAAGGGTCATATATATCTTGAAACAATCAAGTGGTTCTATAGGAAATCATTTCAAATATCTGTAAATTTTATTTTTTCTCAGAAAACCATTTCTTAGATTAATAAAAGAAAGTTAATACATATAACTCTGTATTTTGCAGCATGATAACTTTACCTACATTATTTTCTTAAACATCATTGAGAGATTTCCTTCCTGCTCTCCCATACAGTTATGCATGTGTTATAATAAAAAATAAATAAAGCTTTCCCAATCAGTGGTAAATATTTTGCAAACAGGAAAGATCATAAATTTTGTTCTACTTTAATAATACTTCCCCAGTCCCACTCAGGCCCTTTAGTGCTTGCTGCATTGAACCAGAGAACTACAATTTCAGAGCAATAATAATTGAAATAATAATAACTATCATTTATTAAGCACTTGCTATGTACCAGGCCCTATTCTAAGACTTCATGTGGACACTAAATTTACAGATTTACCACAACCAAGGAAAGCCAGAGACAACACACATTTAAAGAACTCAGATTTGTTTATATATAAAAAAAAGAATAGATAATACTTAGCATTGATTTTAATCTCTTTTAATCCTCACAACAACCCTCTGAGCTTGCTAAGAGATGTTGGGTATTGTACAGATCAACCTCCATATCCTCTAAATCCTCCCTGAATCCGTTGTACAGATTAAGAAACACGGTTGTTTTTCCTTTGGTGTCATAGTTTATGAAATGAAATAAACAATGCACTGAATATAAATGTATTAATAAGAGCTCAGGAACAATGGCTCATACTGGATAAAGAGAGAAAATTAGCTGGTGAGACATGTAATAAATATGCAACACTCCAAACCATGAATATACAAGACACCAGTATTTCCTACAATGATACATTAAAGCACCATATTTGGTTTGGGGTTTGTTTTTTATTTTTACAATATCCCTTATATTCCGAATTTACACTTGATATAAGCAATGATATTATGACTACTATATTCATACATGAGGGGGCCTGAAACTTAAATACTTGCATATACATCAGATGAACATGTTGTTGTCACTTGTTATTGTCATTTCTTTTTTGTAAGAAGGTGGATGAGTAAATCATCGTATGAAAAAAGCAAATTATGATTTTGGAAGTTTGTTATAATATATTGGTGTATAAAAGAAAAATTATTTGATCAATTAGATTTTCTCTTTATATGCAACTATTATTTCCAAGTAAGTGTCTTCATAAACTATTTTTAAAGTGTTAACTATAGAGAATGTAATAAAATAGCAATGAAAGGTATTTCATCACTGCACCTGATAAACACCCATAATACACCAATGTGATCAATTTTCAGCTATAAATAGTTATCTGTATCCACAACATTAAAAAATCTAATAGACTAAGCATGTCACATCTCATGACAACACAATGATGGCACTTAGTTTTCCATAATTCTGGTCTATATTTCTTTTTTAAAAATCAGCTCAGTTTATTTAACATTGCAAAGGTGCAAACTAGTGGTAATAGGATGCTTTTTATCCTTTTAAGTAAATAAAACCCAGACAATCTCTACTGATTATTCCAGGTATGTGTTCTATATCAGTCATTTCTTGTGCTCTGTAATTTGAGAGCAAGGCTCACTTCATCAAAAAGAATATTATTTGAAGTCTTTCGCAACATAGGTAAGTTATTTTTTGCAGTAAAATCCCAAAGGGCTTTGCAAATTTTCAGTTAGGTGAGCTGAGAGTAACTGCTACTTTCTAAAGGTCTAATAATCTTTCTGGCCCTTTGGGAGTTCTAAATTTATGAGTTATGCCTAAATACCCTAAGGAAATTGAAATGGGCAATTTCTTCATTTCACTAGTGTAGGTTCAGACCACTCATTAATCGGAAATTATTAATCCTAAAAACTCTCCTTGGAGGCAGGTAAGAGGCAGCTTGTTTAATATCGTCTCCCCCCTCCCCACCCTGAAAAGGAAAGGAGGCTCTGTGGCTGGCACCCACTCACCTCCTTCCCGCTGCCAGGCAGCTGGCATCTGAGATCTGACGAGGGGCACATATCCATTAGTCATGAACACACTAGCCACTGAAACTGCTTTTTAATCGGCTTAAATGGGGTTGTTTATTTTCCACTTTTCGATTATAGAAATAGAAGTGGAAATCTGCTTTCAAAGACCAGCCTACCAGCATCTCTTCCCTTGGTTCTCCTGACCTTCAGGCAATACAGCTTCCTGAATGGAGTTAAAAATGGATTGTCAAGCTGGCTTTAATTTCTGCGGCCCTGCCTCCAATGTCCTCCCACTGATCTGTTTATCACATCCTCCTTACCCCTTATGTTGTTGTTTTTCTTACTGAATTTTTAGCCTGGACAGCTGAAACTGCCTTTCAAGGCCCCAACCTGCAGATGCTTATGAGTAACAAAGTAATCCTATAGACCGGAGAGCCAACACTAGGACCTGCTCTTTGTTGGAAGAGTCTTCCCCCCTCCAGGCATCCCCACGCCTTTCTTCCCCAGACCCATCCCCGTCATTAGGGACGGCGGCCACTCGGAACAAATCGTCTTCTACTAGCACACCAAAGCGGGGAAAAGGGTGGCTTAGAAACTTTGGGAGAAAACATAAGTTTGGCTTGTTGCTCATGCGTTGTGCGAACATGTTACTTCTTTCTTGGGCTCCTCGTCCCCCATGATGCGCTCATGTTCAGGACTGCGAATCAAGTCTCAGGGGATTATCCCTGACAGGATACAAAACTCTGTATCTTCATTGCCCCCAAGACCCTTCAAGACTGCCCAAGCCCATGTTCCTCCCCCTGGCAAAGCTCTCCAGCAACTTCTGCCTCCGGGAATGACAACTGCTCCCAGCGATAAGGCGAGTGAAGGAGGCGGCTAAGATCCCACTAATGGTTTTGTTTAGTTTCTTGGCAAGCTCCCCTTCATTCAAGCTCCCGGCGCTCCGGAGCCAGGTCTAATTGGAAGAGTACCAGGCTCACCCCTCTCGCGGAGAAAATGCATTAGTCATAGATGAAACAGCACGAAGGGTGCCGGAAGCCCAGGAATGCAGTGGGTGATGAAGACCCTTCCTACAACGCTGGAGAGCCTTCGATGCCGGAAAGGAAAGCTAGATCTCACTGCGTTCAGGAGAGGACATAGAAACCCTGCGACATGGAATAAAGTTGACTTGGTTAGAGGCCAGAACTAGGTGCATAAATAATGCTCACCGAACATCCAAACAGAGTTAAGCAAAGTGTTCGGTATGACACAGCAAAGCCTCAGGTCATGGTAACAGACAAAGGGCAGAAAGCTTCCCCGCTCCCCGGGACAGAAACAGCAAGGGCACCAGCGGCGTGAGTGCGCGCGCACGCGCTGGGGGAGGGGTCGCGCCGAAGCATCCAGGTTGGTGGCGGGGGACTGGTCAGTTTGGGGCGAGTCGTGCACCCGGAATTGCGGTCACGGTGACTCGTGGCCCACTTTGGAAATAGCAGGTATCAACAGTACTGCAATCTTGTCCTCAATTCTCAATGACTCTCCTTAGCCAGCTGGAAGAGTCGGAGTTGAAATGCGACCCGGCCCAGGGAGGGGCAGGGCACAGGGCCCGGGCGGGCGGTGCAGGTGGGCGGGCCGGGCCGGGTGAGGAGGCTGGGCCTATAAAGTGCTCGCTGTCCCAAAGGCGATGCAGCTGGTTGGGTTGGGTCAAAGCTGGGAGCGGATCACTGCTGGGGTCTGCAGGTCACTGAGCCCCCGAGGGAGGGGGCTCCAGAGTAGCGTGCCTGCCTCAGTTTACCCTGCAGCGTTGCCATAGAGCGCGTCCGACTTGCGAACTCCCGGCAGGTGAGCGAGGCGGCGGCCTAAGTGGGGGAGCAGTAGAGGCGGGGGCCGCCGCTGCGTAGGCCGCGGGGGTGATCTCCGCGGAGCAAGTGAACTCCAAGTTTTGCTAACTCTGAATGAGTTTCAGGTTGCGGCTGTAGTTGGAGTTCCCGCTCCCGAAGCTTTGTACACTTGAGTTGCAGGAGTCTGTTCCTTCCCTTTGGAGAATGAGTGCCTCGGCTAGTTCGCTTCGGGGACGCGGAGCACTTTAGGAGCCTCTGCACGTCTTGCCTGCTCTTGCAAATCTGTCCTTGTTGCTTGCTTTTTCCAGCGCCTCGGAAAAGCCGTTCCGCCCCGCGAGGGAAACAGAGCCGTTGACCATGGTTGCAACTGGCAGTTTGAGCAGTAAGAACCCGGGCAGCATCTCCCAGTTGCTGGACCATGGCTTCAACCCGAGGAGCCTGCTAAATGGTGAGTTTCCCAGCTCTCTGCCTCTCATCCTTCCAAAGGTTGCAGCCCCTCCACATCTCGGACCGGACTGGTAGGCATGCGGTGTCGCCCCTTTCCCCGATGGAGGTGCCACAAAATCCATCTGTGGAAACTCCTTCCCAAACTTTCTAGCATCTTCTGTCCATGATAGTGAGAAACAAAAGAAGCAAAAGATAAAATACTGAGGACTCCATTAGTCTAGTCTGCTGCTAATAGGCTCTTTGGAGTGAAAAGATAGATTCCTTACTCTACATGGCTGTGAAGTGTTGGTGAATTTTAAGTGTACAGTTACTGTGTTTTAACAAATGTAATCACCCTTGTAACCACTATCATGATGACTCCCTCCCCCGAAATCCCCATGTACCCATTTACCATTAATTGCCCACTCTCCTACTCCCTGTTTACTTTTGCTTCTAGAGTTTCATGTAAATGGAATCATATAATATGTACTCTTTTGTATCTGGTTTCTATTCTGCAGCCTAATGATTTTAAGATCCTTCCATGGTGTTGCTTATATCAAAATGTGTTCCTTTGATTGCCGAGTAATATTCTATTTGTGGATAGAACCATTATTCCATTTTTAATGCCAGAAGAAAACTTTAAAACAGTAGTGATGCTAGAAATACTGTCATTTGCAATTTTAAATAAACAGCAGTTTTTAAGTTAACACTGCTCTGTCACCGATGACAAATCACTTCAGATCTTTGGGTCTTCCTCATTTAGAATGCAAAATGGTTGATGTAATTTTATAAGCCAAAGCTCTAAAATTCTTTATCTTCAACATAGATAAAATATGGAGCCTTATAATGTAGAATGCATTTGTTTCATTTGTTTCATAGTTATAAAAAAAAAAAAACACACACAATGATCTAAGTGAATACTTAGTATGAAGAGAGGAAACCACTACAGCCTATAAGGGTGAAGTAGGTTTACGGAATGGTGCCTGCAGGGCATCTGTCTGCACCCTGCTCAGTTGACTGCAGCATCTTGCCAAGTGGTAGGATTAATTTGGAAGATAGGTGACCAAATGCAGAGCTATCTCTTTTCCTTTGCGCAAACCTAAGTTTGTTTTCTTAGGACTATTTTGTTTTGCTTGGCTATGGAAAACTACCCAGCCAGTTAAAAATATCCTCCTGGACCTAAAAGGTCTTCTTTGAGCAATTTTTAATCAAAGAAGTTGAAGCTAAAATTGGTATCTACAGGTTATTTCAGTAAAGACTTTTAAAGAAACAAATGTATAGATATTTAACATAGCTCCTCAGAGTCATCTTAAATTCATCGCTTAAGGACAATAGCAAAAATAATTGATATTTTAAAATAATAAATTCATGTATTCTTAGAAGTTAAAAAAAAAAAACGTATAACCATATTTTATTCCAGAAGTAATGCATGTTCTCTGTAAGACAAATAGAAAATCCCCATAAGCAAATAAGGGAGCAAGAAAGGAAAGAAAATCAGTAGTAATCATAAATTTTTGATGCATGGTCTTTAAGATTGTATATGTATATATACACATAAATCTAAAGAAAAATGGTTATCCAACTTATTTATCAAAACCTTTACTTCATAGATTAATTTTCAGTCTCAGAGATCAAATGACTTGTTCTGTTACCCCACTAGTTAACAGCAAAGTGAGATCAGCTGACCCCCAAATTAATATTAAAAACAGATAGATATGATAGATAGATGCAGCCAATCTTGGCGTGCTTTTCTCGTTCCTAGATTTCTTTTCTTTTAATTTTAAACCTCTATTTTCTGCAGATTTTGACTACTGGGATTATGTTGTTCCCGAACCCAATCTCAACGAGGTGATATTTGAGGAGACAACTTGCCAGAGTTTGGTTAAAATGCTGGAGAACTGTCTGTCCAAATCGAAGCAAACCAAACTAGGTTGCTCAAAAGTCCTCGTCCCTGAGAAACTGACCCAGAGAATTGCTCAAGATGTCCTTCGGCTCTCCTCCACGGAGCCCTGCGGCCTAAGAGGTTGTGTTATGCTCGTGAACATGGAGGTTGAAAATGTATGTATAAAGCTGGATAGGATTGTGTGTGACTCTAGTGTGGTGCCCACTTTTGAGCTTACCCTTGTATTTAAGCAGGAGAATTGCTCATGGACCAGTTTCAGGGACTTTTTCTTTAGTCGAGGTCGCTTCTCATCCAGCCTCAGACGAACTCTGATCCTAAGCTCAGGATTTCGACTTGTTAAGAAAAAGCTTTACTCCTTGATTGGAACAACAGTCATTGAAGAGTGCTAAAAGGGGAACATTTAAAAAGGTCCTTTTTAATGCTTGGGTAATAAAACTCTGTAGCTGCTCAGTTACGGTCCCTGTAGTTTGCCCTGCCTGCTCTCAACAAGAAACTCCAAATCGAGCTCTTCTTCCTTCTGTTTCATATTCACAGCAACCCCAACTAAAGAATTTATTTTGTGGCTTTTGAGAAATGACCCAAGAGAATGTACATTGTCTGCAAATATCACATTTTTTTTAAATAAAATAGAATGGAATGGATAAGAAAAGGAAAAAAGCAATCCACTTTAGCTTTATGTTTGATTCCACAGAGTTTTCCAGGTAGTCTTTCTATCAGACTATTATACCAACTTTGCTGAGTTTGATTTTCATACAGCTTTTATTCTGTAAAATTTCAGAGTGATCTTTTCAATCACAGAATCTTACTGAATGATACTTTGTCCATAAAAACTTCCAGAAGCCCACACCACCAATTTCCTGTCCCAACTCCAATTTGAAGAGTTCTTTTACAGGAGGATAAAATTAAGTGGGCGAGTGTAATTGAAACCAAACCCAGTGCAAGAGTAAGAAATGTCAGTGAGAACAGAACTACTTCACTGTTTCTTTGCATCTTCCCCACTCTTCTGTTTTAAAGAGGTGGCAAAAGTTTGAACTGCCACTTTAGTAATCACAGTATTGTTTTAAATAACTTTATGGTACAATATAAGCTCAATTTTTTTAGATCTCAAGTATTTAATGTTATCTTTAAACCAGAAAAATGGAAAATGTTGAACTGTTTTTTTGCATGTCGTTGATTACTCTTCCATTGAGTGAATGGTGAATGCTTATGGGGATGAGAAATGAATTATCAGGTTCTGTTCATTCATTTGATAATCTAGCTTCTTTTCACTATTATGCCTAATCTCAGATGAACCCTCTCACCAGTCAGTGTTATCTCTCATCCCTGGCTTCTCCTGGAAACTCAAGTTTATCTCTCCTTTTCCCAAGTCTTCAAAGGAAATAGCTTGCACACTGCCACTTTTCGTTATTAATATAGGCCTATTACAAAGTCCGCTTTGGCTATGACTATGGTGTATCCTACAAAGTAGAAGATGAAAATCATGGTCTGGTTAACCAATGCACACACCCAATTTTCTTCGACCTTGGATACCTGTCCCCAGGGGAACTATAAAGGCCTTATTTTTTTCTTATTCCTACTACCTAGATCATTATTCTTATGTTAATGAGAGAATGTAACCTCCACAACTACAATGTTCATTTCCATGGGCCTTTACATCCTTGCTGCAGGTCATGGATAAGGAGCTTATTCAGATCTTTTGTCCAAGCTGTAAGCACCACTTCACATACCTGGTAGGGACAGATGGCTTCATCCTAGTGAATAGATTCTGTTACTGATCCCCCATAAGTGACTTAAAACTTCACTATTCAATTCACAGTGCCATCTCTAAGGCTGGGCCCATAAGTCAACCTTGTTTTGCATGTCTATTATTAGTTATGGCTCTAAAGGTCACTGAGTCTGTAAGTGAGGCTTCTCTGGTTTGAATGTAAAACTATCGTCCTTCTTCCTCTAACAGTTGTCTTTGACTATTGTCTTTTATGCTTACAAAATGGTGATGGCTTATGGAGACTCTTAAATTAATATTCCTGTTAAAGGAAATTAAAGTTTGTCTATTTTTGACAATAAAGCATCATATATTTTTAATTTTCTTGTCCTCTTTGTCTTTTCTGAGTTTATGCAGTGATCACCCTAAAATATATTTGACAATATTTGAGGGAAGGTGACAAAATAGTTAGCTATCCCGTTTTTGACAAAGGATATTTGTACCTTCATTATAATATTCCAATTGTATGTATTGAATGTGCTTATGTATCAATAAAAAGTGATTTGTTTCATAATTTTTCAAATACAATAGTACTTTTTATAGTAAGACATTAATAATTTGAGCTCCCTTGGCAAGTGCCTTTTTAAAAGTAAACTCAATATGTAAAGGCTTTTTCTATAGTTTTTCTAATGACCAAATACAGATATATCAAATTGTGAGATCAGTGTACATTTTTTATCAGAATATTTTATTTGAACAACATGTCTTTCTAATTTTACTATTATTCATCAAATTGAATTTTTAGTCTTTTTTTACCTATTTTTTTCTGTCTCCTCAAATTATAGTCATTAGTTTGGATTTCTCTCACTACATAACCCGCATTTAATAAGACAAGTGCTAGGCACTGTTCTAGGTGCTTTACATAAATTATCTCATTTAATCCTCACAAGAGCCCTTTGAAATGAGACTACTGTCATCTCTCTTTTATAGATAAATGACCAGAGATAGAGACATATGCCGAGTCACCAAATGATGCAACAGAGCCAGAGTATAATATCAAGGCAACTGCAGGGATGCTCACCATGCCGCCTCCAAAAACACAAGGCAGCACAGACCACATCCACCTCCTCACCAGTCTGCAAAAATGATATCAGAAACCTTTGCCCCTAAATTTAAAGAGATTCTTATTCTGATTGCTTTCTAGGTAGGAAAAATGAGGAAACTACAGTACTAACAATATTCCCCTTTCATAGGAGCAGAGCTATGCTTAGAATAAAAAGTCCAAATGTTTATAAGACATACATATCAATCCTGGCACCTTGATACCTATGTTGTGCAATAGCTCTGGTTGCTTTTTCATGTACCTTCCAAAAAAAATGCGTGATCTTTCTCCTAGCTGTCTCAATAGGGGATAATCTATTAGCTATGTTAGCTAGAGTGTGTAATGGCCTGAAAGAACAAGATGTCTTATTTTCCTCTTATTAATAGAAAAATAACACTTTATAGTAATGTATTCAATCTCCAAATTTATTTCTCCAATGACATAAGCTGTATCTTATGGAGTCAGCTTCATGTTGTACTATTGACAATTTTCTCATTTGCATAGTGGAAGGATGTACAAGTATAAAAATCCAAGGTCTATTACATTGAGTTCTCAATGATCTATATTGATTTAACAAGTGATAATAATAAAAGTCCAAGGCATGGTGGTGGCAGATAAGGAGAGAGGGGTACAGTGATGAGCTGGGAGGAGCATCATGCAGATATTCAGAACCCCAACTCCTGTCTGGATTCTGCCATTGATTTTGGACTCAAAATACGTCACTGGATCTTCTACATCTGCAACAGACAAGAGAAGAGAGACTGAGGGATCTCATGGGGAAACTTAGGGGCCAGATGTGGAAGTGATGGACATGACTTCTGTTTACATTCTGTATAGAACTTGGTCACATGGCCCCATTCAATGAAAGAGGGACTGGCAAAGGTGTTGAAAGGTGTTCTTAGGAAGAAATGGGATTGATAAAGTTTCTGCCACACAGGGCAAGAGACGCGTTGGTCTATGAAAAAATAGAGAGCCCAGACACAGATCGACATATATATAGAAGCTGATTTATGGCAGAGTTGGCACTTTAGATAATGGCTAAACAATAGTGTTTTCAATAATTGGTGCTATAATAATCATCTATGTGGGAAAAAATAAAATTTTATGCATATACATCAAGCATAGAAATCAATTCCAGGTTGTTTAAAAACCTGAATGTGAAGAAAACTTTTAAAAGAGATTATAATTTTTATGATTTTTACATAGGGA